TCCTAAATTATAATCTTTTTTACCTAAGAAAAATTGGTGGGTAAATTTGGTGCCATTTTCGCAAAATTATTACCTAGAGAATCATTTGCGGCAAATAATTTGTAAGTATTATTTTCATAGGTAAATTTGCAAGTAATAAAGAAAAGGATTTCTTTTTATCTTATAGCAAGAAAATTCCTAGATAAATTTATTTGCAAATAATTACTTGAAAATTTATCTAGAAATATATGTGGTATTACCTGGGGATTCATGTTCTGTGAATTTTGTTGGGGATTTACTTAGGAATTTTCTTACTTGAAGAATTACTTGGGGATTCTATTGTTGTAAATTTGATTTGAGATTTTTTGTGGGATTTACTTGGAAATATGCAAACTTGAATATTTTTATATAATTTAATTGGAATTTTTTTTATTGAAATCTAAAGATTTTTGAAAATTAGGAGTCCTCGGGGAATATTTTCTTAAAAATATATTTACCAAAATTTAAAAAAATATAATTATATAAAAGGGACAAATGATCACTAGAATGAAATTTATTTTTAAATAATTATTCTATTTTTAGGTTTAATAAATTATTATGCAATAATATCAATTTAATAAGGTGTTGGAACATTATCATAAATTTTAGGATGAATATTTTTAACTCATATATAATTAATATTTAATCTCACTAAACATCAATGTTATTATTTGTTAATTTTTTATTTGAAAGAAACAAAGAATTAAAATTAGATGGCTAGTTATTTATCCAATAGAAAAATAATTATCATAAATATTTATCAATCTAATACGGTGTTGGAACATTACCATAAATTTTAGTATGAATATTTTATATAATTAATATTTTATCTCGCTAAAAATCAATGATACCATTTTATTTTGTTTTTTGATTTGAAAGATACAAAAATTTAAAATTATATGGATAGTTGTTTATCCAATAGAAAAGTAACCATCATTTTGTCAAATTAATTCGGTGTTGGAACATTACCATAAATTTTAAGATAAATCTTTTGAACTTATATATAATTAACATTTCATCTCACTAAAAACCAATGATACCATTTTTTATTTTGTTTTTTTATTTGAAAGATAGAAATAATTAAATTTATATGGATAGTCATTTATCCAACAGAAAAATAACTATCATAAAAGTTTAAGTACCCCTTGTTGATAGAATTATATGAAAAGAAAAATAAATAATTTTTACTTGTATATTATATTTTTACTAGCATTAAAAATAAAATAAAAAATCTCTATAGTAAGTTATTAAATGATATTATATCCAAATATAAAATTAAGTATATTAAAATATAACTATTAAAAGATAAACTAAAATTATAAATACCAAATTTCCTAATAAGATATACAATCAATTATTGATTTACAACTTCCTTGAACATTAAATTTATAAATATATTTATATTTTCAATTATTTATTTATAAGAACTTTGTATGCATAATGTAAAATTTGTCTACATTTAATATGCTTCGTTATATATATTATCTCATAGAAATTGTAAGTATAAAATTTTCATGATATGTTGGGTGGTAGTGATTTATTTTAATATACAAATAGTTGTCATGCTTTATTTTTGAAAAGCTAAATCACATGAACTTTACTCAACATTTTAAGATATATTTTTATCTCATATTAATATGAGATGACTTTGTAGTACTTTTTGTGTAATGAATATCTAAATTGTATTTTTAATACTCAATTAATTTAATTAAATTTAACTTTAAAAATTAATCAAATTGAAGAAAAACAACAAAGCTTAGTGTAATGCTAGTGGTACTTTTTACCACATCGGTGGAAGACGCATGATCTTTAGCATTTATAATGCTATTAGTTAGAGCATTGATAGAATAGAGTAATTACATGTAGGTTGGGCATTGGGTAGTGGGCTAGGATTAAGTTTGTGCAATAAAGTAGAGTGGACTTAGGAATATGTTAGTGCAATTAAGTATGTGCCTGTGTATGGGGTTCAAGAACAAAATAATTAATTAGGAGATACTAATTATTAATTAATATTGTCCAGAAAATTCTACTTTATTAATTTTTACAAAAAAAAATTGGTATATTTTTTTGTAAGAAAATTCCCAAGTAATTTACCTGCGAAATATAAATCCCTAGGTAAATTAGTTGGGGATTTTAAAATTCGCAGGAAATAATTACCTAGGAAAGTTTCACCATCAGATTTTTTTTGGTAGGAAAATTCACAGGAAACTTGGTTTTTTTGCAAATTTTCATATGTAATCCCTAGGAAAATCCCCATGTAATCCACATTTTTCTTGTAGTGAATGATTTGAAATAAAAGATGAAGTTGTTTGTTGTTCGTAAATGTTGATAATATTGTATATGTTGATATATAAATGCATGTGATTATAATGTTGTCTTGACTTGCTTATGTTGCACTTAGTGGGATAGCCGCGTGATCCTACCAGTACATTGTGGTTGTGTACTAATAATGCACTTGCTCTTATTTTTGTTGAGTACAGGGCATCTTCAAGCAGCTACTAACAGACCTTACTTAGAAGATCAGTGATCGCCGATTCGAATTCAAGGGTGAGTCAGTTCTTCCGGGCAGCCTTGAGTTCTCTTTTTGTTTAGTCCATCCTATTCAGACTTAGACTAGTTCTTTAGACGATTTTCTTGTTTAGACTTATGAATCTTGTTAGAGTTTTGGTACATTGATTTTCAAATTCTAAGTTATTTCTTCCGCATTTGTTTAGTTTAGTTGTTAGATCTTTTGTTTGAAGTTTATGGGAACTTCCTTATTTAGCTATTTAAACTTGCTTCCGTAGCTTTAAATTGTTAGTTAGTTAGTAGTTATGGTTCTCCCATCGGAGGGTTAGTGTAGGTGCCAATCAAGACGGTCTGGATCGTGACAATTTTGGAGATCATAAGAGATGCTAAGTATAGAATTATAATTAAATGCTTTGTTCAATTCAAAATTACTTATAAGTCATAAATTATGAATCTAGGTTAACTAACTCATGACTGATTTTATTATCAAACACCTAGATAAATCAAGAAGTGTTTATAAGTTAGTAGTTTCACTAAATTATAAAGTTAGTCAAACCTCTTCTTAATAATTATCTTAATCTAATTTCATTATCAAACATTTTTAGATGAATCAAGATGTGTTTATAAGTTAATTTGATTAGCTTATAAACTTAGTTAAACATTCTCTTAGTAATCTGATTTCATTATTGAATATTTTCATATAAATCAAGAGGTATTTATAAATTAATTTGACTAACTTATAAACTTAATCAAACATTCTCTTAGTAATCTAATTTCATTATTGAATATTTTTTAATAAATGAAGATGTATTAATAAATTTATTCGGCCAACGTATTATAAACTTAGTCAAACATTCTGTTAATAATGTTAATTTATTATTAAATAAGTTTTAATAAATCAAATGTGTTATAAGTTAGTGACTTAATCAATCATCCTCTTAGTAACATCATTTTGTTACCAAATAATAAAAAAATCTTTATAAATTAATTTGACCGACACTTATAAATTTAATTAAACACGCACTAAGCAACTATCTTAGTAATAATTACTACTTATGTTGTTTTATTTCTTCCACATTAAAAAGTTGATTGGATTTAACAGGAGAGAACTTATCCCTATCATCATTTCATAATTCCAAAGTCAAACACATGCCTGCCCATGTAATAATTCTCAAAGTCATTTGTCTTTTTCTTTATTTTTTTTTCACCTCGATGTTCGAAACATATATTGAATATCTAACTAAATGTGGTCGGTGTTCGAAACCTATGTTGGATTTCTAACTAAATGTGAATCGTACACTATAGGGTCCATTCAAAAATGACGCTCACAATTTAAAAAAAATCATACCCAAAAGTCGAATCCAAATCTTGTAATTAAGGATAGAACAATCACACCACTATATATACCACATCCAATGTTGGTGTCTTTTGTCTTTTTCCTTACTATCCCTTATCCTTTCTTTTGTCCTAAAATAAGTATGGTTTAAAAATTTAAGACGAAGATAATACTCCCTCCGTCTCATTTTATGTGAGGTAGTTTGACTCAACAAGAAGTTTATAAAAGAAAGGAAGATTTTTAAAATTTGTGGTCTAAAATGAATGATAGAACTTTGTGTGGCTATAAATCATTTCATTAAGATTAAAATAAATATTTTAAAATTAAATTGTTACTTAATTCATTTGTTCACTTTTATTTATCTTCAATAAATTTTGTATACTTAATTATTTTTTATTCATATTTTACCATAATATCTATATTAATTGATACGTAATCTTAATAAACTTAAAAATTATTTTGGAATGAGTAATTAATACTAACGGTAAAACATAAAAGGAAAAAATTATCTTTCTCTTGAGTCTTCATATGCTAAAATAAATAAGTATGAATAAAAAAATATTTTTATTATACTAAACTAGTAAAGTAATCAAAAAGAGAATATCTTATATTTATTATTTATTTCATGAACATAAAATAAGCTAAAACAATACTTATTTTAAAACTCAATAAACTATAAGACACGCCCAAAAATAGATGTAAACCTTCTCCTTAACCACCAAATACAAATCCTTCAATTGACTTTCTCTAAGTTCATATGCTAAAATAATTAAGTACAAGTAAGAATTGATCAAAAAAGAGTTTGTTACATTTACTATGTTTTTCTCAGTGAAATGAGCTAAAACAATATTTATTTTAAAACCTCACAAATGATATATATATTTTGGTTGTCTACTCTATGTCCGGAGCTCATATTGAAGTCCTTACTAAATTTGAATATCACACTAGGGTGACGCTCCAAACAAAAAATTAATACCCACAACTTAAACTTGAAATCTCTAATTAAGAGGAACCAGTCTCGCCACTACAGCACAACCCACTTTCACAAATTATATAAAAACACCCAAAAATAGATGTAAACCTTCTCCTTACTACCCACCAATTGTCTCTTGTACTACATTCCCTCTTTCTCCACCACAAACAAAGGCCTCATGGAAGCATCCGACCCAAAGTCGAAGCCAGAACCGATTATACCGAAATTTCCTCTGTTTTCTCCTAAAAAAGAAATACCAAATATTACTTCCCCTGTTCATCACACCATAGCCGCCTCTGTTCCTTTTCAATGGGAAAAAGAACCAGGAAAACCAAACACCATTAATCTACCAATCAACAAACCAAAATCCTTAGAGCCACCACCAAGACTTTACTTAATAAACACACCATCACCCACCACTGTTCTTGATGGACCTTATTATAATAATAATAACAAGATTTCATCTTCTTCATTTCGATTCTTGAAAAATATCAGTAAAACACCAGAAACAGAGCAATTTGTGAAAAAGGGAAATTGGTGGCAGCGGAATGTTAAACGTAAGATTGGTAGTAATAATTCTTCTGTGTTTTTATCTTCAATGGATTCTACAGGTAAAAGTTGCAGTGCAAGAATGGGAAGTTTTAGAAGAAATGGAAGCTCTTCTAATCTCTATGCTACTAAGTCCAACATGATGTGGGTAAGTTTTGTATTTATCCTTCGTTATATTATCGGGTTAAATATATCTCTATCGTTATATTATTCAATTAAATTTACCCCATCTCTAACAAACTTTTAAAAATTAACTTCACTCTTGATAGTTAACAGAGTTCGTTTAGACTGACTTAAATAAAAAGTAGGGGAGGGCTACTTTTGATTTTTAATTTATTTTAAGTCATTAAAATTTATTGTAAGTTATTTTTAACTTTGTCAAACATTTTCTAATTTATTTTAAGTCATTTTTTGAATTATTTTAAGTTAGTATTTGTCAAACACTCTCATAAGTTAAAAATTAACTTAAAAATACGTTTGATCAACTTTTAAGCCTATCCAAACACCCTCTCAGTCATTATTTGATTGGAGATTTTAAATTGAAGAGGAAGAAGGTAAATTTGATCCTTTTCACTTATAGCTTAGCTTTACCAATATGGTATATTTAGTTTGATAGTATAATAATTGGAATATATTTTAGTCGATAGTATAATGGAGGGTAAACGTAGGTATATAAAAGTAAAAGAATAAATTTAACTTATGTTTTTCTTTTATATTAATATTAATGCTAAAGAAAAAATAACCCTTCTAATTTATATTTTGTTGGATAGAAAATAGTCTTTATCACTTTCTAGACCGTTTAAAATTGAAATTATTACTATCCTAATTGTTAGTTCCTTTTTTGGAAATTAATTTATATGATGCACTTCAATTGACTATGAAATTTACTAAGATAGATATAAAGAAATTGGTAAGAATTGAGGGAGGGAAGAATCAGAATTCTCAATTATCATTTTAAGAAAGACGTTTCTTTAAAATTTGTTTTCATCTTTAGTATGTTTATTTTCCACATTTGTAGAGAAAATAAAATTAGTCCATAAGATCATAATCTGCTCAATTTATAGTTTGGACTGATTATTGATCGACCCGTTTATCCAATCTATTAAATTTGGGTTCATATCAAACTCAAATTGATCAATGAAAAATCTTTGTTAAAATACTTTTTATTTGATATATTATATATCATTATAGTAAGAAAAAAATAATAAAGTATTAATAAAGTATTAAAAGAATATTAAAGAAAACAAATTGAGTAATTAAAATTTAGTAAGATGTGTTAAAGTTTTGACTTACTTTTTTGCCAATTTCAGTAACTTTTGGACAGGTCAATAACTCATCTATTAATAAATTAAACCTATTTGATATATCAAACTTACATTCAACCCGCTCATTTGCTGCATCTATCTATTGGTATGTTCATCTCTAAAGCTAGGACAATTTGTTCTTATCGATGTTATTTGACTTTTAAAATATGTGATTTAGGTATTTGTGTGATTTATACATCATCTCATTAATAATACATAAAATTTAAATTAATTTATATGTAAAAATAAAAATATATCATTCTTTTTCATACAAATTAAATAGTACATCATAAATTGGGATAAAACGTAAAGTAAGTATTTTTGTTATATTAGTGTAGTTTAACTTATGAGCAAGCAAATTACCCTATTTATAATGTTTCCAATTAATGATTATAAAATAGAATTATTTGCAATTATTGTATGAATGACCGAATCATCTCAATTATTTTTTTACTTATAATATATATAACTTAAACACAATATGATTAAGTGATTAATGGACGAAGTTGGTATAATTAGCACTTAAGGGTTTGATCTAATTTTTAAATGAAATGAGTGTGAACTTTAGAGACCCTTGAGTGTTAATTAATGAAATGAGTGTGAACTTTAGAGACCCTTGAGTGTTAATTATACCAAGGGACCGGTCGTCGGGATCGTGTTCTAATTTGGGTGTTAGGGTTGGGTCCTAAATCAATTATCAAAGTTAATTTTTGGGTCAGAAATTATTTTTGTAAAAATTAGTTTTTAGTTTAAGCCAAAAATAAAAGATAATTTTTGGAAAATGTTTTTCATTCACTAACCAAACATTAAAAAATATTTTCCAAAAAACACTTTCTACTCACCAATCAAATATGAAAAAATAAGTTAATTCACTTTTTTTCAGGAAAACATTTTCTTTCGTACCAAACACACCCCAAAGCTTGAATCGCAATAGAAATTAAAAGAAGAAAACAAAGATAAATAATTTCTCCTCATCTCAGCCTAAGACTTGATAAATAAAATTATCCAATACTAATAGTGAAAGGTAGCGGATACTTGATGAAATAATCGACGTGTGCATCATGAGAGTGGGACACTATCGTTATACAGAAAAAAAGGTGTGTAACTATAAGTTCTTGACTTCTTGTTACAAACTTTTAATTAATTGCGTACTCTTAATTTATAGTCTTCAAATAGCATATGCTAGGTTACGCTTTTTTAAACTAAAAGTTTTGATGGGTCAGTTTGATCCATAAATTTGTTCCGTCACTCTGTTCAATTTATGTGACACATTTTATTTTATTTTTAGTTTGTTACGAAAAAAGAATATTATCTTTAAGTATCTAGAAACAACTCAAATTTAAAATGTTCATTTTATGATAAATAATCTCAGGACTGTCTAATACCTCCAACCAAACACAGAATAAAATAGTCCCGCATTATATCCCTAAGATTATTATAAGTTATACCTCCAACCAAACGACTCCTAATTATTAAGAATCCTCTTTTCTTTCTTAAATTCCATGTCCTGTCGAAGATTACTACATAAATGAAACAATCATGTATCTATGACCTAACTGATCAAACTTTCAACAAATTTCACTTTGTTTCATAAATTTAAGCACATGGGACAAGACAACATAGTAATAGGGGCAGTTGTAATGAAGAAGACAGTCAATCTACTTACACTTCTAGATATAAAATGCTAAACATAACACATAAATATAACTATGTTAGGCAATTAAAAGCATAAATATGGTGGAAATGTAGGTGTTGCCCTCACCTATAGGGTGTGATCAATTTGCTATCCATAAAGGAAAGGGCATGGGCCTGTTTGATTTATGATATTTTGGGAACTTGTGTCACATTCAAGTAAGTGAAGATTTATATAGTCGATATTAATATAATTAGAATTAATGTGCAATTGTCTAGATGTTGGTGCGCATAGTTAATTGATACTTATGCCGATATAAATAGTAATGTTGGAGCAGTTAGATGTGCATTAAACTAGTAGGGCCAAACTAGAGTTTAGGTTATGAATTTGATCGAATTCAGTAGCTTTATTCCAAATTAGCATAATCGCGAGGACATGTGTAGAATTATTTGTCTTTGTTTTTAGTTTAACTTCATTCTTATTGATAAAATTACAGGCAAATATATATGAGGGTTTCAAGAAGGCCATACCATGGAAGAGCAACAAGTCAAAGAATTGTTCATCTTATAGCTTTCAACACCAGCAGTCAATTTAATCTTAATGGAGAATAGTTGGCTGTGGTTGGTCTAATACTACTGGAAAGTAGAAATCCTTGTTAAGAAAGGTTATTAATTTGTAATTATGTTTGGACATGAATTTTATTTGGAAAAGGAATAGAAGTTATGTATTCCTGGTTTGAAGTTGAAATGATGGGTCAAATTGACGTTGAATGCTTCTTCTTATAATGAAGTCGAGTTATGACATTGTAGATTAGGGCATCTTCATGCGTCAAAGATGTGAGTTTTAGTTTCAAGGTTTTTGAATCAGGTGTGTCTGAGTTACAATCTTATGTATGTAAGAGGGCTAAGCATATTCTAAAGTAATTAATATTCCTATAATGAGAGTCATTGTAGTGTACTATTGGAGTTAGTTCACTTCGATGTATGGGGGCCTGCCCCTACTCTTTCTTTATAGGGTTATAATGATTTTGTGACTATTTTGGATTCTTTCTCTCGTGTTACTACTGTTATCTTAAAATAGCTAAGGATATTGTTAGTTTTATCCTTTCTTTAAGATGACTCTTCAAAAGTCTTTATGGTGTGAAGCAATTTGCAAATAATATTTCGAGTTGAAGTTGAAATGATAGTAGATCTGCAAACAATATTTCGAAGTTAAAGTTGAAATAATGAATGTCAAGAGATGGAGTATTAGAGTAAAAAGACAATAGATAGTTAAGTGTAGGTAGCCGAGTGTTATAGTACTTTTATGTTGGAGAGACATCAGACATGGGGTGGTCTCCTCTTCACATCTTTTCCTTGGTAGTATTAGTTAGTATTCACATAGTATCTTTTTCTTCAATTTCGACATGTTGCTTCATTTGCTTTGTTCATCTTGCTATTTAGCTGTCGTTATTTTCCTTTCAAGACTCTTGCTTTGATTACACTTCTTTTGAGCCGAGGGTCTACTAGAAATAACCTCTCTAGTCTCTACCCCACGAATATAGAAGTAGGGTTTGTGTACATCCTACCTTCCCTATATTCCACTTGTGAGATTACACTAGGTATTGTTGTTAATGCAAAAGAGGAGAATGTATTTGCATGAACCAAATTCAGAGATCTAAATCCAAAGCAATTAAAATGATGAAAAGCCTGTTACATTGCATTTACTGGCTAATAAAATGAAGGCAATTTCTGAATTCAAACAGCTTCAATACAAAATCATTAATAGTTACACACAAATGAAGATCTTATTTTGTTTTCTGATCACAATGAACAAAAAAAGGGGTGTAAATAAGAGTACAATAGGCTTTTTAATGCGAAAACCTGACCGGGAGGTTACCCTTGTTTCTTCCCAGTTATACCAGTAACCACCTGCAAAACATGGGAAGGGAAGAGTATGTTCAAGTACAGAGTAGACACCTCGTCTTCTTCGGGCAGCTAAGGTATCTTTATAGTTCCAGACACAACGCTAAATAGATTGTGCATGTTTCATTTCATAGTCTTTCAAGTGTTTAATGCAGCTAGCTACACTAGCCAGTAGGACAAATTGAGGCGATGCAGAAATTGTGGGAATTGGTTGATTGACAAACAAAACCTACCAGTCCTAATAGTTCACAATTCGATTTTTTAAATTTAGAGTGGCACAAAGAGAAAACTGTAAAATGAAGGACATTGAAAGCCAGAATTAAAACTACTAAAGAGGTGATTTTTGGAGACCATCGGTAGTTATAGTATATAGAATAGCAAACCTGTTAGAAATTGGCGTACTGCATACAATATTACAACCATCATGCCTAACGAAGAGGGACATAAACCAGAAACCATATCTAGCCAGCTGAAAATGACAAGCAAACTGGGGAAAAGGGGGAAAAACAGGCACTTGAACTAGTAGGCATAGTTTACTCACATCACTTGGAGCAGGTAGAGGGACTTGCTTTGATGATTCAAAGGAATCAAGCATTGGCCTAACAAATGCAGGAAGGAAAAGGCCTGAAAGTGGGCAATACAAGAAATATAAGACCAATTATTTCACAAAGTCAAAGCAAACAGCAGGTGGAAAAGATAGCTCTTAAGTGGATCTCAAAGACAATAACTAAGTTGCACTCTACAATACCGAATTACGTTTCACCCATTCTATTTTTCAAAAAACATTTAAAATGTTTCACCCGTTCATCCATTCTATCATGCCTATATTGACCAATTTGAATAGGTCATTATCAACCAATCACTAAGCATGTTAGTCTCCAATGCGACAGGGTCATATGCATTGCCTACCTGGGAATGGATAACAGGGTGGTGTAAACCAAGATATTAATTAGAGACACAAAGCAATGTATCTTTTTTATAATTGTGGTATCTGGACCAGCTTGCGTGCACCTATAGACTAATTCCACCAGGTACCTGCTACCTCCATCAACACAGGTATCGGGTGGCTATCCACTGAGTGATAAATCTTCCGAATACAAATTTTATATGTAGTAAGTCAATGGAGCAAGGGTTAATTAGTAGAAACCACAAACTTATATGGACAAGGAATCTAAAGAAATCCAAGGCCGATAAAGAAAAAAATGAGTCACGTATGTTACAAAGCAATGAATCAGAACTCTCCAAAGCTTTCCATTTAAGGCTTGACGCCTTGACCTAATAGCATGTGCCACACAGGAAAATAATCAACTAAGCCCTACTAACACTAACAAGACCGAGGCTATCAAAGAGAGAAAAATCTGGAGTCTATTTTGTGTCAATATCCCTGTGAAAGAGGAGACGAGTGAAAGGAGAAACTTAATAGTTGCAGATATGTGCTTGTCCAATTTATTGTCATAGTAATACTGGCTTTTAAACCCACTGGTCAGCCAGATTTGGTAAGATCAAATCCAGCCTTAACAAAACCGATATTAACGCATCCATTGCACTTGATGCAAAATGTTTACTCGATGAATCCTTTCTATCATGAACTGGGAAGTCATTCAAATTCGATAAATATGAGACAAGATAATTCAAGTAACTACTGCTTCCCTCCCCACCCCGTCCCCCCAAATCCCTTTGCTGTCATAACACATGCAGAGAACCTCTTGATCTATAATTGGTCTTCTCTGTGAGTGTCTTATCATTTTTTTGTACAATTACACTTATACGTATAAATTAGATGCTAAAAAGAAGAAAATGTACACTGTTAATAACTAAGATAGATCAAGGCATACATTTTAATGTTCATGCCTCTCTAGACTCATACTCAATACTGAATAAAGTCGAGCTCAACCAAGTGAAGCCTAAGCCTTCAATTGCTCTTTGTTAACAATACAATTAGACTAGAGACAAGCCGAGCGCAATTCATCTAAACAAATTATAAGTCTAAATTCGAACTTAAATTTGATGTGCTTAGTTAAATATTGAACATAAACTAGAACTTCCAGAGCAAAACTAAAAGAATAAATTAGCAATACCTACATTCCATTATATTTTGATTATCAACTTATTTTAATGACATTTCACATCACACATAAAATAGTCTTAAGTTGCAATGTGACTAAAATTCAATTATATTGAAAAAAGAAGTATAAAGTTACAATTTTACTAACCCCGTCCATTCCAGTTTACCTGGCAGCATTTCCGTTTTAGACAGCTTTCTAAATTTGGAAACAATTTAACTTGAACTTCCCATTTTTCTTTAATGATATACTTTTATACTACAACTACATACCCACTGAAATCCCACAAGGGGTATGTTTAAAAAGTCTTATTAGGTACACAAATATACGACTTGGCACACCCATTAGTTCCAAAACAACTCCTCTTCCTCAAACTCCATACCAGATCAAAACTTGGCACGTAAATTGAAATGGAGGGAATAGTAATTATGTAATTTTAAAATTAAGATATTATTCCCTCAATTCATTTTTACTTGTCACTGTTTGACTTGACATATCTATTAAGAAAATAATTATTTTTTTTATGACAAGGGAAACCCGCTACCCTTTGGGTGCGCACAGGGTAAAAACCCCCGCTCCTATGCAATAGCTCACAAACCACATATGAGAGGTAACCCGCACTAGACAAGCCCAGTGCGACGAGCTCGACCCAGAAGGCAAACCCCCTGCTTTCGCTGGCAAGGGGTTTCGAACTTGAGACCTCCAACATGAAAATCCCAAGCCCAAACCACTGGGCCATCCCGAAGGGTAAAACAAATAGGAAAGATTGTTATAGGTATTTACTAAACTATCCCTTATTAAATGATGTCTTGGAAAATGATTTGGAAAAAAATTATTGTCTATGTCAAAAGTGACAAGTAAAAATGAACGAGGGAACACTATTATACTTATTAATAATTGAGCTTAATGGATGAATTTTAATTCTTAAAGTAATATTACGAGACTCAACCGAGTGAGTTAAGTCACGCTTCTATTGAGAACAACAACTGCAAAAACCACAATTCCTTTAAGGATCAATAGAAGAATTTTATTTTCCATAGCAGTGAATAAAAAGTAATTCAGTCAGACAATTAAGAAGGACAATCAATTTAACTAAAGTTGAGGATTCATTAGCTAAATTAAGCAGATAATTGAGATTCTTCTTCTAAATCGAAGAGCAAAATTAAGTAACAGATTTGAGAAGGAAAATACCAAAACCAGCGATTAGACATGAAGCAGCCACTACAGGCTCTTGTACTACGAACATTTTCAATCTCTCCATTACCGCCATCTTTCTTCTTCTGGATTTAATGTCTCAATATTTTGGGTTTGCCCCTTTAGTGATCTAATACAATGACCCGGCCCATAATGTTTAAGATTGGCCCATAATCTTTTTTCATCTTTTGTTTTGACCGTGCAAAGCGTCGTTAAATTCACTAATATGTGACTAAAGTTTATTCATTTATAGATCGAAATATATAAATGCAGGATTCATTTATATATCGAAATATGCAAATAGATCGAAATATACAAATGCAAGACCCATTTGTATACCGAAATATACAAATAGACTCAAATACATTTTTTTTTTTATGTATATGTATACCAAAATATACAGATTAATAGTCATAGCAAACATAAAGTTTGTTATGGAGCACAATTATACAAACTACAACTGTAGCATACAAATATGATTTTTATGTTTGCTAAACCTAAAATTTACTCAATTATTTATGTTAAAGAATTATATCATAACAAAAGTAATTCCATTTTTCTATTTGGTGATTATATATGAATCGCCAAATGTAAATATTGAAACAATAAATTTATGATGCAATCATAGTTCATAAACGTGTGGTAATTACCAAGTAATGAATTATTTCCTAAAAAACATATCTCCTTCGTAAAATTCATCAATTTAAAAAAAAAAAAAAAAATCATCAATTCGCGATTACTACGTACTCAACTAATGTACACCATGTAAGACCTATTAAACGGGACACATTCTTTATCCATAGTTTTTTCCCATTTCCAAAGGGGAAAATTCAAGACTTTTTGTTTAGAAAGAAAGATTCAATCCATCCCACCATATTATATTATTTGGTGGACGATCGTTTGGATCTTTCTTTCCATCTAAAAAAAGTAATACTTTGTTTTTAATTAAAATTTAACCTATAGTACTACTAAAAGTACTAATTTGCCATGTCGCAGCAAAATTGCAGCTTCGTTTCATGCGATAAATTGGACAAAATGGCTAACAGAATTGGGACAAGTTTGGCATCGGCCTTCTTTGCGTCCCTCGAACGATGCTCGTGCATCACCATTAGTACCTTCCACGACGACGACGACGATGAAGAAGGGAAAAATCGACCTCTTTTATTCACAAAGCATGCTTCGTTTACCCAATCTAAGCTTTCGTCTTCTTGATTTGATTTATGAAGACGTGTAGATATCTATATGCATGCGTAAAGCTGCTAGAAAGATATGGAGTATATGGTTGTAGATCGGGAAAAGGTTCAAATTTGTTTGTTATGATCGATGAAATTGCTCAATTTTGTACTTGGTGATTTATATACTTTTGGTCATTTCATACGTTGTTAACAAATTGTCTCGTATTTATTCTTGTCATGCTCCAGTGTGGAATATGATGAGTTCCACGTGTTAAAATTCTTTGAGAGAGAAAAAAAATATATATCTTGAACAAATTTAACACTTTACCCTAATGAATTGGAAAGATGGAAAAGATTTGTTCAGCTATTGTTTTTTCTCCTAAAAGTAAATAATAATGTGATATTTCTAATAACTTGAACTTTTAAGATGAGACGGTGATACACTTTAACACTATGAACCACTGGCCTGACCAGGGGTGGACCTACAGTGGTTCAAGTGGGTTCATATGAACCCACTTCGTTGAAAAATAACACTTATATATATGTATATTTAATCAGTTTTAAAAATTTTATATGTATATATTAAATTTTGAACCCACTAACACAAGTTTGAAGCTTAGCAGAGTGGTGAGGGGGTTCAATTTTCCCAGCCAACTCGGGATTGAATCCCCATTGCCACATTTTAGTTTTAATTCGTTTTTTTGATATATAAAATGTTCACACACAATTTTGTCCTCTATGTAGGTGTAACTTTTGTCCTTTTAATTACTTAGAAACTATAAAAAGTAGAACAACTTTTTACTTTTACAATTAAAAGTCCAATAGTCAACAACTTTTGTCCTTTTTGTTTTTAATTTTTTTTTTTTTTAAAAAAACTCAACTAAAAAGGCACTAATCCCTATTATTCTCAATTCTAAAACCCCCTTTGTATTCTTCTTTGTTGAAATCTTCTTGAACCTCTCTTACTTTTCCCCCCAAATTTTTGAGCATATTTTTTTATTGAAGGAAAAAAACTTTCCCCGTCTCTCAAATCTCACATCAATAGTCAATATCCATCAAGTATGTTTTTTGCTCTTGATTCTAGTCTTTATATATACATATATGTTTATTGTGGTTATTTTTTATTTCTTCAACTAAAATATCCCTTATCATTCTAAAATCAACAAAAATTACAAATAATATTAGGTATATTTCTATGTATTCAATTCTGAAATTAAGATTATAATTATTTTGTTTAATATTTTGTTTTTATTTGTTAAATGTTGAATGAAGAGAAATCATTCATAATATTCTTTTATCTTCTTAGTTTATATTGAAGCCTAGTTTTCGTCCATCTTGTTATTTACCGTCTCATTCATAAGTCAATGTAATTTTTTTTCAAATGTATTAACATTGTTTAGTATAGTCAGATATGTATGCTGTTAGCCTCATAAAAATTACAAATAATATTAGGTATATTTTTTAATCTTGAACCCACTTCGTGAAAATTCTGGGTCCGCCACTGGGCCTGACTAATCAAATTGACGTCGTGGAAGCCCATTAACAAAGAAACACTTAGTATTAGGATTTTTTTTTTTAATTTCAAGACACGATTTCATAACTTTTGGTTAAAAATGAAGAAATCTCATTGGTCCCAATTTGCAGATGAATCTTCTCTTTAAGTAAGGACGGAGGTAGAAAGTTATGTACAGCTTCAGTCGAACTTAGTAACTTTAATTTCAATCCTATATTTATATCAATAAATTTACAAAACATGTACAATAATTAAATCTGATGCACGATGTTCATAACTTCTTCTATATATTATGTTGCAACTCTTTTCATCTTATCAAAAGTAGAATTGTAAGAGACAAGTTTAAACAGTGAGATTAATTAAGAGGTTGTGAAATTAATTAGTAAGTTGAGTGACCTTTTAAGTTACTAATACGTATGCCTGTCAAGCAATTGTGGATGAGTTATAAGAATGGCTTTGGAGGTAGCTATACGGTGATTTACAAGAATGACTTTAGAATGAAGGTCTCGAACCTGAAATCCGTCTATCTTATGGATAAAACTTTAAGTTTAACAAGTTTTACCTTGTGTGTTTTTTATTTTTTACCTTAAAGGTTTGTGCGTAGGACAAGTGATATTCAAAAGCTAAAAGACACCCACTTTTAAGGTCATTGGGTGTAATTTTTTTGTTGGAGGTGAGTGGTCTTAAACTATTTTCCTGACTAGCTCAATCGATATCAAAATTTTAAAACTTTTTTAACCTTGAAGACTTTCCCGTAGGACAAGCAAAGTAAAAAATTCAAGATCATCCATTTTCCTTCCGAGATTATTAGCTAAGTGTAGTTTCCTGCACCCCGAGTGTCTAGTTGTTGACAATACGTGATATCTAGGGCTTGCTTGCTCATACTTGGCAATTATTTTGAATAGGGAAACTTACATAAATCTTACTAATTTAGGAGCTAATTACTTAGATACATACTAGTTTGCAATACTATGAATCTTATCAGATTTTGATGCGTCCAGGTACATGTATATCTCGAGATACATGGAGTCAAAATTAGGTGTAATTTGTTCTCAATACACTATATCAAAGTGAAAATGCATGTATATGATATACATAACAAATCTCTTTTGCCTCTCTCCCATCTCGCTCGCTACTCTCCAGTGTATATGGTATCCCAGACACACGTGAATCACACCAGATACATATATCTAGTGTAATTCACATGTATCTAAGATATATGACTATCTCGCTCGCCCCCCTCCCCCATCTCACTCGTTTCTCTCTTTATTTTAGTGTATCTGGTAGCAAAAATATATGTATATAAGTGTATATTAGCGTCCTCAATATAAGATAGGAAACTCCTAATTAATGGTAATATACATAATTATTTGAAAATATAGGTAGAATTAGTATACGTATTTAATAAGGTAGTTTTGCCTTTGAATAAAGTGCACAAATGACCCTACTATTTAAAACATAGTCAAACTTTATAAAGTACTTAATATTTAATCGTCTTGGAACAAACTTAAAACCTCAGGACAACTTTCAAAATCAAAGGTTTTTTTTTAATGCAATTCAAACTTCAGACTTTCGAAAGAGGTTAGGCTTGAAACTTCAAACCTTCAAGTGGAACAACAAGCAACGTCGATATATAAGAAAGATCTCGAGTTTGCCCCTCTAGCTAAACCTTTACAGGCTTGTTTGATTGAGGAACAAGTTATTCCAAGATTAATTTACCTCGAGATTAGTTATTCCACGAATGTTACTCCACCTTCAATATGGGACTAGTTATCCCTTATACCAAACGAGTCCTATGTACATTTTAAAAGCTACATGTATCTAAAAGCAACTACACAATATTATTTCTATAATTATTTTTCCTTATGATTTTTTATGAATATTTTTCCCCTTAAAATGAAAGAGATGCAATTGTCTGACTAATTACTTTAAAGAGATCAAGTAACAAAACTTTATGAAGATTTGGGAAAATATATAGTTGTAGAAGAGAGGATTTAATTTAGGGCCCTCAGGCGTGCACAAATTGCTTATGATTTTGAGTGATAAAAAATGTCTACAAAAGGCCACACTCAAATCTTTTATAATTCCCTTTTAGTTGCCCCTAATCATCTTGTCATCTCACGTGTTGCCAAATTTCATCTTCTTTGAACACCATTTTGAGTCGAGGATTTATCGAAAACATTCTACAAGGTAGGGGTGAGGTATGCGTGTGTACACACTACCCTCATTCGAACGCACCTATGAAATTAAACAAAGTTTGTAAATGTTGTTTAAACGCCTCTCAACCATACACACACAACCACACTCCAACCATCAGAGGCCGGATCAAAATTTGGAACTTTAGGAATATGAGTTCTGAATTTTATCATAACTCGTTTGATTTATTGGGTTCGAAGCCAATTTTTGTTGCACTTATTTAATGATGTTCCTAACACATATATAGGATCTGAGTCAAAGCTACTTGACTACCACTTTACATTGGCCCTACTACTCATCAAACATATATAGAGGAATTCATACAATTGAGTCAAATTGGGGTCAAGGCATGATCATATATACAGCTCTATTTGTCTAGCTTTACATACAAAACTTAGTCGAAGTTTTTTATCTTTTTTCTTTTTCTTCCTTGTTCAACTTGTTGCACATTTCATTGTTGATTGTATACAGTAGCCAAGACCCAATGTTTTTGTCAATTATGGCCAATACAGAAATATGAAGGTTTAAATATACAAAGAAGCAATAAGATTCAGCATCTACGATATGTACATTAAAAATAAATTTGGCCTCGTCTTACATATACCTATACTTTTTTTCTCACGAATGGTATTCAGATGAACCCCTTGCATCCCTACCTACGCCCCTGTTTAGTGAGTGATTATACAACGAGGGGCGGGTTATAATAAACATGTCATGCAAGTAAAGTGTGAACGTACGGGGAGTATGCTGCAGAAGTAAGGCAATAGTAAGTTGAGGAACAAGTAGCCTTCCCTACTCAAAAGAGCAGGTTTGCATTGCAAGCAAAACTCCACTTCCTCAGTCATAATATATATGTATATATAGTGCTCGTTCATAATCTATTTTAACTTTTATGTACTCATATGTTACCAATTAAGCAAAAATGTTGTATGGTCAGGGACTATAATGAGTTAGCTACACATTTTATTAAAAAAAAAAAAAAAAACTTGCTCACCAGTGAGCATAATATATATGAATAAAGATTTCCCCAACAACTTATTATTACAAAACCATGTGAGAGGAATCATGGAAGCTATCAAATATAAACACATCTAGCCAACATCTTATAATTTCTCTTCCTTGTATATATTCATCAAGCCTTTAGTCTTATAACATGTCAATCTCCTTTTATTCTCCTAACTCTCAACATGAAAAACTTGCTCACTACTTTGTTTATTTACTTCTTATTTATCTTGTTTCTCTGCAATAACCACAGCAAATATGTTGTGAGTTTTAGACCACAACGGCGAGGAGGCAGATCAACAAGATTCTATGATTTCAAGGTTTAGTTTCTTCTCATCATACTTTTGTTAAACAAGTGGTATTTACTACTCAATTCTTCTTTTTCCTTTCAGGTGCAAACTACTAGTATAACTAAGTTATGTAACACTAAAGACATTCCAACCATCAATGGAATGTATCCAGGTCCAGTTGTTTATGCTCAAGAAGACGATAAAGTTATCGTCAGAGTTACCAATGAATCCCCATACAATATCACAATCCACTGGTAACTGATACTAAATAAAATCTCAATTCTCTTCCCTTTCTTTTCTCATTTTCACATATTATGGAAAATTAAGCTTACCTGGGCTTTCAAGATTTCTTCAGGCATGGCATCCGTCAGAGGCTATCGTGTTGGTCTGATGGCCCTTCTTACATTACACAATGCCCCATACAAACTGGACAAAACTTCACTTATGAGTTCACTCTGGCACAACAGAAGGGCACATTTTTCTGGCACGCTCATGTTTCGTGGCTTCGAGCCACTGTTTATGGTGCCATTGTTGTTTACCCTAAGAATGGTGTTCCTTACCCTTTCAAGTTCCCATATGAAGAGCATATTATTATTTTAGGTATGTTGATTCAACATAGTTATCTTTCTTTTTGAGAAGAATATAAGTTCTATGTGCTAAAGTGTAAAAAAATAACTCTATTTAAGGGATGTTGATTGATCACCTAGTATAAATAGTAAACAACTTGCTATAACAGATAAAACTACACCATTAGTGTAAACAATATTCTTTACACTACTGATGCATATAACTTGAACACTTTTCAGAATAAGAATGTTATTAAGAAATTTTCTCAAAAACTAATCTGAAAACAATCTTATTTCTGAAGAGTGTCTCAAAAGATTTAACTTATATACACCGACTTTCTAAAAGCATTTGCTATTCTCAAACTTATGAGTTTTACAGGAGAGTTTTGGATGAAGGACATGGTGCAAATTGAGCAGGCAGTTTTAGCTGGTGGCGGAGCCCCACCACTGGCTGATGCTTTTACCATCAATGGCCAACCCGGCCCTAATTATAATTGCTCTACTGATGGTAATTTTTTACATTCATTATGCAACTTTTTACTTCCAACTTTTAAATCCAAAAACAGGGAAAAATGACAAAATTTGCATCATTACTTGTCATATTTGTTACTCCTTCCATCTCAGTGATGCGACTTGACACGGACTTTTAGAAAGAAGGAAGACTTTTAAGACTTCTTGTCCAAAACATGCGATAGATATAATGGATAAAATGAGAAGTTTCAAGTTAAATTGTTTCTAAGTATAGAAATGTATCATTCTTTTTTAAATAAAACCAAAAGAGAAAGTGCATCACATAAACTGGGAGACAAGGAGTACTTTTTAACTGTTTCTGTTAGCTAAAAAGTGTCAGTGATTTGTTTCAGATATTTTTAAAATAGATGTGGTTCCAGGGAAGACATACTTGTTAAGGTTAATCAATGCAGCTTTGAACCAGGAGCATTTCTTTGCCATTGCAAATCACAGATTGACAATTGTTGAAGTTGATGCAGAGTACACAAAGCCATTGACCACGGACCGAGTCATGCTCGGGCCGGGGCAAACCCTAATCGTCTTAGTCACAGCAGATAAACCTATAGCAAGATATTCAATGGCCATGGGACCTTATCAATCTGCTAAGAATGTCTCATTTCAAAATATAACAGCAATAGCTTACTTCCAGTATTTTGGTGCCACAGCAAATGGTTTAAGTTTACCTGCAGCTTTACCACATTTTGATGACAATCTTGCCGCTAAGACAGTCATGGACGGGCTTAGAAGTCTTAATCCTGTTACTGTTCCTAAAGATATTGACAGAAACCTATTCGTTACAATTGGACTAAACGTGCAAAAATGTCGGTCCAAGAATCCCCAAAAAGATTGTCAAGCTAAAGGTGGTGGAGTCATGGCTGCTTCCATGAATAACATCAGCTTTAGTAAACCTAACATCTCAATTTTGGAAGCTTACTACAAGAACATCAGTGGGTACTTCACTCAAGATTTTCCTGGGGTACCCCTGAAGTTTTATGATTTTGTGAATGGGGCACCTAATAACCCTCCTAATGACACAAACTCACTGAATGGAACTAGGACCTATGTCCTTGACTATGGGACCAAGGTTCAACTGATCCTACAGGACACCAGCACCGTCTCCACGGAGAACCACCCTATTCATCTTCATGGCTACAGCTTTTATGTTGTGGGTTATGGCACCGGAAACTATGATCCAGATACAGCCAACTTCAATCTGGTGGATCCACCATATATGAACACAATTGGAGTTCCAGTAGGTGGATGGGCTGCCATTCGATTCGTTGCTGACAATCCAGGTAATAAATTAGAAACTAAATTTCATCTCATAATTATTACAGTCCGTTGTACTAAACTCACAGATGGACCATTTTCATGCACAGGGGCATGGTTTATGCACTGTCATTTGGAGATACATTTATCTTGGGGCTTATCGGTGGTGCTCATTGTGAAGAATGGGGAAGGGCCATTAGAAAGACTTCCTCATCCCCCAAAAGACTTGCCCAGATGCTAGATATATGTGGTGTTTATTAGGGTGGAGGTTGATAACAACAAACCTGGAAAGTTTATATGTTTCCAATTGGAGATTCTTTGACCCACCAAGTGTGCAATAGCTGATACACTGATTTTCTTTATTCAAAGAATTGGCAATTGTTGACATTTATAAATTTGTGTAATAGAATCGGAACTTGTCTCTCATGTTCATTCGTTTGTCTTTTGCATCATGACAAAGCTTCCTTTACACGGCACACAAACATATGCAGGTAGGTAGGGTTTTGGCTATAGGAAATTGGAAAATGATTGATCACTAATAAGAAATATAATAAAAAGTTAAATGGTAAGAGTGGGAACCAAGAAGCTGTCTGGTAGTCCCATTTTCTCTTATAAGCTTACTAAGAACAAAAACCAGTAACTTCAAACATGCCTTTAGGCAGTAGATAACTAACTAATTACCTAAATAACACAGCTTTAACATTTCCTTCAAGTACAACTGACAAGTGCTTAGCACAAGCGTTTTGGTCATTCAAATTGTCACAATATTTCAACCATAAACTTTGTCAATTTATAGATTGATAAATCACAACTCACTAGATAGAAATGAAGGGAATTGGAGAAATTTGAAAGCTACCAGTGTTCTCCGAATAAAATGTTCTGAAAGGTGGGTGGCTTCCAGCAAGTGACAAAGAATAGCAACCACAAACAGAAACTGAAGCATTAGAGGTTAGGTAGAGGTACCTTAGTACGCATGTGCTTCAAATTCAGCTGATTTCTTTCATCAGGAACTGTGAAATCTAACAAATCCAATTTTAATTCACAATAGAAATAATTATATATCATAATCGAACAACTCAACAAAGACCCCTCAGTACAAGGATAGAAGTGTCTATAAACTTGATCAACTCCATAACTTGCAAGGCTAGGCACAATTAACTCTCAATCACACAGTCTTGGCAGAAAATTAAACTAACCGAAAAACAATAGAAATAGGCCCTTTCATCTAGCATGCCCTTCCTTGGGGATGCTTCTTGCTCAAATGAGTATTCCACAATCTCATTAAACAAAGTAACAGCCCTTTTTCAGCCTCTGATTGGAATAATTTGAAATACTCATTCGGGCAAGAAGCTTTGCAAGGAAGGCTGACCTACTTCATGAGGTGTCTCAGAAGCAATATCATGGTTCAAACATAGATCATCATAGCACAGATCAGAAGTAGAGCGTACTATGAGAAGAATAGCAGAGGTCTTTGGTAGCCAGGTATGTAAAACCATGACTAATACAACATATAGAGTTTTCCTATCTCTCATAATTCTGACATCAAATTTCTATATTAATGTAATGGAGCATATGAAACAATTTAGTTTATTCAGTCAGAGAACAATGTTCCTTCCAAAATTATCTCAATAATACTAAAAAGATTCATTTCAGTGCATATACCAATAGTCTATTGGGATAATCTGTGGGATGACAAATTGAATATCATGGGTTGACTTTGTTTTGTGTCCAGAAGTTCTCACCATTGACACTACGTGCAGTAGTAAATGCTAGCCTCTCATTTCTCTTCAAGTTCAGATAATCAACCTGTAAGTAACACAAATAGAGGAAAGTTACAGATGCACCTTCTTCGTGAGAGTTACATGACCAGGGAAAAACTCAGACCTGCTCAGGGTCCAGAAGTAGAAGGCAGAATGCATCGACTGGACCAGCAGACGAATCTAGCGAATCGTTCAATGGTTGTTCATCTAGAGAAGGAAGCCCTGGAGTAGGCCCCAAATATTGTAGTCTTGATCTCACAGAACCAGCAAACCAAGCTGCCTCTCTTTGCTGAATATCATCAGAATATGCAGAAGAAAATATATTATTTACCAAGAAAAAAAAATTGAGGCAGTAAGTTTAATTACTGCATCAAGTTGATGAAGTAGATCTCTATATAATAGAGATTAACAGTTCAACACTACACATAGTCACATAGTGTGATAAAGAATATCAATATCTTACATAATTCAAGGTACCTAGAGCAGAAGTATGCAAGCAATATAATTTTATTGAAAGAACCACCACTGTTTCACTATGAAATATTTGCAAAAAAATGCTCTTAAGTACACTACAATCAGAAATGCATGGTACTGAAACACAGCAAAGTGCTGAATACAGAAAGTTTCTGAATGAATTGTTGCTTTGCAGCTGGAGCTTTTAACACATCTTAAAATAAACGAGTGACAGTTAATTCTAGATAGAGGCATGTGCTCTGAAACTGGAGCTGATTGCAAGTCTTAGATTTATTACTAATAGAACAAAATAAAATCACAAATTATCACATGTATAGGTAAAAACAACATGAAATAGTAAAGATTCTTCTGGAATTACCTTAAGTTTATCTGGGTCAGAGTTTGATGCATCAATCATATCGACTCTTCCATGAATTCTGAATTGTTCCCAAGTTTCAGTGAAATACCAGCACACCTGAATCATTACCAGATTTGTTCAAACAGCATTGGATTAATTACAGAATGTTTCACATTTTGCAAAAAGTCGGACGGGAAGCAACTCTATTGTGCATTTACACATTAAACACTAAGGCCCAATTCAGAAGCCATGAAAAAGAAATGAGACAAATCATTTATACTCTCTAGCAATAATGAATTAACAAAGTATCAAATACCTCTGCAAATGGGCAATGCTTAAGATCTTCAATCTGCACTGATTCAAGTAAACCGTCATCAGTTCTAAGCACAATACACAACTTAAATGGCAACAACAACAATAACATGTCCAATGTAATCCCACTAGAAGAGCCTAAAAAGAGTTGTGCATGCATAGTCTTACCCCTACCTTGTGAAGATAGAGAGACTATTTCTAATAGACCCTCGGCTCAAGTAAAGCATATCAAAGTAAAGTATGTAAAGAAAATACAGTAGCGAAGAAGCATAATACTCAAAACAAAATAAAAAAATATGATAACCAAAGCAAAGGAAACAATAATTAATAATAGAATCGAAGAAAAAGATATTAGGAGAGTAATATAACAATACTGATAAAGGATAACAACTTGAATTCCCTTTATGAAAATTCTGGCTCCACCACTACTACCATCATACTAGAAATTCTAAATAGTTTAAGATATGAATTATTTTCTTCTTTTCTTTTTTAGATGTTTTTTACTTCCTTGGTGACTCGAAAGGAGGGTGTTTACCATCCGAGCAACTCATATGAATACTTGAAAGTTGCAGAACTTTATTAAAACAAAAGGGTATCAACAGTTTTTTAACAAAAAGCAGTCAATTTCCAAAATTACAGACCTTGCAGCTTCGTGAGTCAGTATTAATTTGAATCTTATCAGTACCATCTTGAAACCCTCTACAGAAAAAGAAAAGAAGATAAATTACACACAATGAAAATGAAGAAATCAGTGAATTAAACATATATAAGTTTAAGGGGTGAAAGCAGACCTGAAAACGACAGTTCGATTAGAGGGTCTTCCATTGGATCCAACAGTTGCCTAATGCAAGAAGCAAAAGTAAATCATAAAAAACTGATTCAACAACAAAAATTAGAATGAAGAGGAAGAAATGCAGGAATTTGTACGAGCTGAAAGTAGGTTGAATGCTTAAGATGGGAATTAGTGTTGATGGAGTTGAGAAGAAGCTGCTTCCATGGAGCTGAGCTACTCATTTTCGGCAATTTTCCCAAATTATTGGAACAATTTTTGCCTTGTAATGAGCAAATACAGAAACTAACTCCATAGAAATAGTTCCAATTTCACTCTACCAATCAAGGTAAATTATCAAGAAGGGTTTTTCTTTTGGGTAATATTACATGATTAAAATAAGAGATAAAGTATTGAAAATATTCAAACCAAATTATTAGTTTTCGTATTTAACTATTGACAATTTTAAAAATACATATTTAGTTAACTAATTAAACTTAAATACATTAATATACTCCTGATATGTCATATGACATAGTAAGTGGTTTCAAACAAAAGTATGAGATTCTTAATAAAAATTGAGAAAAGTGTTGAAAATACTCTTAAATTTGATAAGAATTTAGGGGTGTATTTCATTAATATTGCAAGATTGGGATGTAGTTAGGTTTGGTTAGACAAGTATTTTTAGGACTGTTAATAATTCGAAATAAAACTAATAATTTACGTCAAATATAGAATTGTTTTCGCTACTTCTCTCTTAAAAAATAATTTTTGAATAGCATAGACATATGGTTAACTAATTCTTTTTAGTGGAAAAAGGTCAAAACTTGTGTTTAAACAACTTTGACATGTGTTTACTTTTTAGAATTGTTTAGGTGAGGTATAATGTATAGTAATCTTAAGATAAAATGTAGAATTATTTTATTTTATTTCATATTTGATTGGAAGTATTAGGTAGTTCTTGGATTATATATCTCACCATTTTTGTATCATCTCATATACATAATCGAACAACTTATTCCAAAATTAATTATTTCAAAATAACTTGTTTCCAACTTAATGACCCATAAATCTCATATTGACCACATCGTTTGAAGAAAAGGTTCATTTTTGTTCTCATCCCATAACGGAGGTTCAACTTGATTATGGTGTGTTTGATATGAAGGAAAATGTTTTCCATGAAAAATGCTTTCCTGGAAAACAAGTAGATTTTGGACTTATTTTCTCATGTTTGGTTGGTGAGTAAAAAATATTTTCCAAAAAAGATTTTTTAGTGTTTGATTAATGAATGATTTTTTTTTTTTTTGAGAAAATATCTTTTATTTTTACTAGAGAGTAGAAAATAAATTTTGAATTGAAATTGAAAATATTTTTTAAAAATAAACTTAGATTTTTTCTTTGGGGGGGGGGGGGAGAGGGGTAGGGGTGAGATGGGGTAAAAATATAAAATTTTGAAATTTTTTAAAAACAAACTTAAATTTCTTTTTGAATGGGGTGGGGTGGGGGTCGCGGGTAGGGGGTGGGGTGAAAAAATAAAAATTTGAAATTGAAAATATTTTTTAAAAACAAACTTAATTTTTTTTGGAGGGGGTGGGGGTTGAATGGGGGGGGTCGCGGGTAGGGGGGATGGGGTGAAAAATTTGAAATTGGAAATATTTTTTTAAAAACAAACTTAATTTTTTTTTGGGGGGGGAGCTGGGCAGGGGGTAGGGTGGGATGAAAAATAAGAATTTGAATTTGAAAATATTTTTTAGAAACAAACTTTAATTTTTTGGGGGGGAGTGGGGGGGGGGGGCTGGCAGTGGGAGGGGTCGAGGGTAGGGGGGTGAAAATAAAATTTGAAATTGGAGATATTTTTAAAAACAAACTTAAAATTTCTTTTGGGAAAGGGTAGGGGGCTGCCGGGGGGGGGGGTAGGGTGAGGGGGGGAAAAAAATAAAAAAATTGAAGCTGAAAATATTTTTTTTAAAATAAGTTTTAAATTTATTTTTTTTCAACAAAAAAATTGTAATATGAAGTTGGAGGAGAGTTTTGGAAAATGTTTTCCTTAATTTTTGAAGGAAAGTCATTTTCCTTAAATTTGAGGCAAATGAGTTGATTTGGAAAACATTTACCCAACCAAACATGAAAAAATTGAAAAATGTTTTCCTTCATACCAAACACACCCTATGTCTTAAATGGTAAATTTTAGATTTTTTTTCTCGAGAAATAGATGATTTATCAATGATAAAGATATGAATGGATTAAAAATTAAAGGCATAATACATATATTGGACCATAAACTTGGCTTCAAATTTTAACTTTGACCTCCAACTTTCATAGTGCACAAATAGGCACTTTAACTTGTATAAAATAGAACAAATAGACACACATGTCCTACATGGCATCCTACATGTCATTTTTTGTCCTACGTGGTGTCCTACGTGTATTGTGCCATGTAGGACTCGTGTGTTTACTTGTTCTACTTTATACAAGTTAAAGTGCTTATTTGTGCACTATGAAAGTTGGAGGTCAAAGTTAAAATTTGAAGCCAAGTTTAGGGTCCAATATATGTATTATGCCAAAATTAAATTGATGAAAAAATTGAGTAACTTTCGATAATACAAATTTGAACATAGTGGAGGATAGTGTAATTTGTTGCCTATTGAACAGGTAATTGAGTTGCTTTATTTTAAATTAAGCACGTTCAGAGTCTATTGATTTTTTTGGATAATAATTTAGCAACATATCTTTTCAGTAAAAATATTATACAAACAACTCTTTATAAGGTGGGGGTGGGGGGATCACAAACAATTAAATAATTCAACCAACTTTTGTCCGGACATCCTAACTTGTAAGCAATTTAACATGGTAAGTAGAATGAATATTACCAAGTTCTGCTTATCCATCATAATTGTTAATAATTGAGTAACACATGCAATTTTGGCCTATAAGACAAAAAAACTTGTGATCAATTTCACTATGTTTGACTACTTATATCTCAAACTCTTGTCCCGTAGGTAAACCTTTTAAAACACTGACTTTAGAAACATAACACAAATTTGTTTCCGTTATTCAAGTTCCTATTGAGTGTAGCGAAATCAAAATTGATGATAAAGTCAATAAAGTTTTCATGGTGTTTTGATCTACCTTCTACCTTTGTAGTCTCGGTCCACAGTGGAAGGGTCTGCACCTGAGCCTCATTAGACACAGGTGAAGTATGAGGCGTAAGTGAAGAAAGTAAAAAATAAAAATGAAATACACCCCTAGCCTAGTCGAGGCTAAGACAAAGGGGGAGGCTGATAATATAACTTGAGGAAAGCACACAACAAAATCAAGCAGGAATCATACAGATTTTCTGCACTACAATCTTCTGTGCCAAAACATAGGCTCGGCGATTACATGAACGAGACACTCCCAACATATAACATTTAGGTATAATACATAAACAAGCACTCAAACGGATCCTTTGTTGGCAAGTAAACGCTCCAACTTTGAGTATGCACATCTAGACACCTCAACTTGTCACCACTGTGTTAATTGAGCACTCCAACTTACAAAATGATCATCTAGACACCTCCAAAATTTATGTATCATGTCAGCATCAGGTGTCCATGAGATATAGTCAGGACGAGTTGGAGTGTTTTGTTGTAAGTTAAAACCAAGATGAAGTGTCGAGATGTACACTCTCAAAAGTTGAAGTGCTTACTTACCAACTGAGGCTAAGTTATTAATGTATGCTTAAGTATTAGGCCTAAAAGTTACTGTCAACTTAGAGTAGGATCATTACCTTTCACACATGGATAACCAAAGAGTAGTTTCTGGAGAATATGTATGATATGTTAAGCAAACACAATAACGTCATCATAAATTGATACAACATCGAGAATACTCTCTGTGTAAGACACTGAGATTGATGTCACCTAGCAGTTCCCTGATTCAAAGACCTGTGTTCTATGATGACTCTTCCATGACTGTTTCCGTAGCCAAGCTTCTCTGCCAGGTTTTCAACTGCTATTTTGACAACATCACTTCGAACGCCAATGTCAGTTGCATATCTATTCATACAATACATCCCTGCTGTTAGTGTGGCCACACCAACAGGACTAGGAATTAGCAACTTCAGAGGAGAAGAAAGAAGAGCAGCTAAAGGAGCACCAATGATAGAAGAAGCTTGTCCGCTACTTCCAACACTGCGTCTATCAGCTGTTAGAAGGCCTGTTTTGCAGTACAGCGCAAAGTCCTCACAATTGTTAAGGAACACATTATAGTGACCGAATCCATTTTGAAGAAGATACATTGCTCGGTGTATGATCATCTCAGGAGGGTCTGATGCTGCAGTAGTGCAAGTGCCCCCTCGCACTCTGGTAAGGAAAACAGATGGGCTTACTCCATAATCAAAGTTGTAGAGTGAACCATCACGGAGAAAGCAATCCAGACAAGAAAGAACAACACCACTGTTAGGTAGCTTAAATCCACAGTCGGGAAAGGTTGGACATGAAGAAGAAAGGTCTGACATTTCATCATTATCATCATCATCAGAAAAGGCCTGAAGACGGTTAAAATGGACCACTTTGCTTCCGCCAACAAAAATACCTATGAATACCATATTTTCAGAAGACTCAACACACAAAAAAACTGTACTTATTTGCAGGAAGAAAATTTGACCTTTCTATGCAACACTAATTTGAGAATCCTAATTCAAATAAATATAAAGAAAACGGACTTGCAGATCATAGTTGCAGCTGACTGCTATCGAAAATGTAATTTTCATTTTTTTTTTTGTGTAGATTAGATGAAGGGGGAACAACCATTTTAGATCAACTAAGGAAACATAATAAAGAGTGTGTAAGATTTAAAAAAATCACACTTGAAAAAATATGGTTCAAGCTGAATAACATGATAACTAATGATATTCCAGAGTCATATTTTGCATGTAAGATAGATTTTATAGTAAGGTTCAAACGAGGTGCAGAACCAACTCTTAGACATTAAGTGCCTGCTTCATATTTTACATCATAGAAAAGCATAAAATAGAGGAATCATGAAAAAAAAAATATATATAAGAAAGTATGCATCTCGAGAGGCCATCATATGTTCACACAAACAAAGCAACCATGTGATAACCTGAGAAGCAGTTTTTTGGTTTGTTAGAGTTGAACAAGCACAAATAAGAAGCCGCGGTCGTTCAAATTTCAGCAATAAAGCATCCATAATAGACCACAACATGTCAAACATATAACGCAAAAACCCCAGGAGACCACCTCTAGCCTATCAATCAATTAATCTGCCCTTAAATCCACTAAAATTGCTAGCTTTACCATCAAGTCGTCATTTTGTGCAGTAAAGACTGAAGACCTGTATTGTTTCAATTGTACAATGCAAGATCCATAGAAGAAGGTTTCACGTGAATGTCATGAATCCTCACTTTGATCATACTGATATGCTACCAAGAAGCAGCATTTAATTTAGTCATAACATCCAGAAGGAGAGTAACAATCATTTTGCTAGGTTTTATTGTACTTTCTAAAAAGATAGAAGAGCGTATGTTACAGCAACAATACTTAAAATAATTCAACTATGTGGCTAAAGCATTTTTCTCTATTTATATTCAGATCAACAGCTCTCTTAGCTACAAAATGACAATTTAGTAGCCATAATGTAGAAATCAACATATCGTGACGTGCATACCTAACTTTCAACTAAATTTTCATGGAGGAGATAACCTTACAATCCAACAGAATCCAACTAACACCATTTCAAATTGCAGTATCGTTTAATCATATTAGCCAGGCAATAGGACACACAAGAATATTGATCCATCTTCTTTAGCACCTTTTTTATTATAATGATAGCACTTCACAAAGATTAAGTACTATTTGTAAGACTTAAAATAATTAAAAAGTCTAGCACTGATTAAGCTAATATACTAAGACATCAGGGTGGATCTAATGACAGACTTTCCTAGATGGAAGGTTGAGGAACTATATTTCTGTGTTGTAACAGTTACTCTCGATTCTCATTTCATACTTGCTCTAGAATAGAAGAGAAGAAGAGAGAATCTAACTTTACTTTAGGTACCTTTGGCAAATGTAAGGATATTGACACTTATTTCACACGACAACTTTCTAGAACTAAGTTGCACGGACTCTTCGCTTTCGATGCTGCACCCGTGTCGGATTCTTCAAAAAAAAAAAAAAACACTACTTTGGAGAATCCGACACGCACCCATTGACATTTTTTGAAAAGTCTAAGCAACATAGTTCTAGAAATAGCTACACATAGACCCTAAATGGTTATAACACTCAAACCGTTCATCATTCAGAATTTCTCAGCTCATCTCGGATTGAGAATTTAAAAGCGCTAATAAAATTACTAAATTGGATATACTTGTTTTTGAAATCCGATGCACACATGATTTAAGCCAGACACACATCTCAATTCTGAACCTCCATATGTACAAGCAAGCTACTCAGGACTCAATCACGAAACTTGTCATTCGGATGCAGGCAATATCCATGTATTCAAAATTTCATGCAATCAATAGATATACATATCAACGGTTCATAATGAACCTCCATAGATACAAGTGACCCACTTCAATACTAACAACAACATACCCAATATAATCCCTCTAGAGAGGGTAAGATATGCAAGACCTTACCCTATCTTTGCAGGGTAGAGAGGTTGTTTCCGATAGACCCTCAGCACAGACAAAAAGTTCTCAAAGCCACTTCAACTCTACTTCATCCAAAATCACATAAAACACAAATACACACACACATATATATATACCTCCATATACAGATAAAGAATAAGCAAGTCATTGGCTCATTGCTTAATGACAAAATTTAGGAAACAGCCTCTCTACCTCTACCTCCCAAGACGGGGTAAGGTCTGAGTACACACTAGCATGAAGCATCCCCACACCCCACTAATAGGATTACACCGGGTATGTTATTGTTTTGTAAATTATATCCAATTAGAGGAACAAAATAAACAATGAAATCATATCAGGAGCTATTTCACTTAACAATCCCAAACACATCTAATTAGGCTCACTAACTCACATGATAAAGGAATCTTGACTGTCAAAACCAAATGAAACATTCAAAATGGGGAAAATCACAGATAACAGCAGCCTTCTAAGAAGGAAAAGAGGAGTAAACTAAACACATAAACCAAAGTACACAGAGAGGCAAAAATTAACTATATTTCTTTCTTGATTTTTTTTGTGAAATTACCATGGTGGGAGTAAGCAAAAACAGCTCTGTAAGTGTAAATATGGTCTCCTGGTTTGATTTCATTCCTCCCCACTCTGTTTGTCAACAAACCCATTCTATCTGTTCTTGAAAACAATGTAGTAGTTTGCAGAAAGTTTGAATCTTTTTAGAAATTCAAGATGAACCCACTATGAATCTTTGATTAATCATGCAAATTGACACATTTCACCATTAATAATAAGAAAATGTGTCAAAAAAAAAAAAAAGTGTCAGAATCTGAGTGGTTTACCTATTGATTTGCTCAACAACCCTAACAAAGATGGATACATTATGCTAATAAAATCCTTGACATAATGAGTCTGCATGCCTTTTCAGCTTTAGCTATTTTATTTAGGGGTGAAAACAGTTGCTCCCTCCGTCTCATTTTATGTGCAATATTTTAATTTGACATGGTGTCTTAAGAAAAAATATGAATATTTTTAAAATTTATGGTCTAAAATATATTTTTTAGATGTTTGTGTGGTTGGTTATAAATCATTTTATTAAGGATAAAAATGAAATTTTAAAAATTAAAATATTTTAAATATTTTTTTAGATGAATTAAAAAGGAAAGAATGTCACATGCAATGAGAGGGAGAGAGGAGTAGTGAAAATGGTTGGAATTTGCTAGGAAGAAGGGGGGAACTTTGGATTTGGCCTTGTGGGGTCTATAAATATGTTCTCTTGAAATTTTTCCATGTTCTTCCTATATATCACACACCCTAATAGCAAAATTAATACTATTTAAATTAGATTTGGAGAGAAAAAATATGTGCACATCTTATTCCTAACTTTGTTTCTATTATTTTGAGGCAGAGATATGATTTATGATGGCTCATAAAAAGAATTATGATTATCCAAGCAACCTAAAATATTTTGAGTATTAATTGCTTTTTTTGTTGCTAAAATAAGTGATGTTTTAGCTTACGTACACCTTCAAAAACTAATTATTTTTAGAAAATAAAAAAAAGTTTTACGAATTTATCGATAATTAAGTGTCTTGAAAAAAAAAGTGATTCTTTAATGATGTAAAACGTTATGTACTAAACAGGACTAATTTTAAAAGAACAAGATCAAATCCTTTTGGAACCCAAAAACATCAATTATTTTGGAATAAAATAGACGTGCTAAACACTGCTTATTTAGAAATGGAAGGAATATAAACTTTGCACCTTCAAAATATTATATTACTTTTTTTTTAAATGATATTTTTAATTGGGAATCTTATTTTTTTACCACAAAAAGTAAAATTATTTACAAGTTCATACCCCCATTATATTATATTTGTGTCCCCTTTTTCTAACTCAATGTCAAACTACTCACGCGACCTTTGCCTCCTTTCCCAAAGCTACCTTCTTCTTCCCCAAGCTAGCTTCCACGCAAATTCTAGTGATGGATAACGTTGCAATTTTAGTGCAACACAATGGAATTTGAGATTCAAACAACAAATACAATACTTATCATATTGATGCAATTTTAGTCAATTCTATTTCCAATTTCATAGATCTGGTCGAAACAATAGCAACACAACTACAGAAGGAAGCTGTTACAAGCAATATTTAAATCAAATATGCACTTTCACACGGATTTCCACCACTGAAAATTACAAATAATATGGGCGTGAAAGTCTATTTTGCATTGAAGAAACACAATCCTGTAAAAAAATAAAATCAAGAGCAACATTCAGTGCAAGAAAAATTTCAATATCGAACTCAAAAATCTTATAAAAAAAGAGGTATGTATAGAATATACATCAAAGGATATATATATATATATATATATATATATATATATATATACATACTCTGATGGTATCAAAGAGGGAGAAGCAGTGCTTCAGTGAAGAACACTACACAACTATTCCTTGATACGATTAGAGTATATATATATATACTACGATAGGATCAAGGAGGGACATGTAGTGTTGTGAAAAAAACTGCTCAAAAACTGCTTGATACCATCAAGTTAATATATACTGTAATAGTATCAAGGAGTAGGAGGCAGAAATTCAGTGAAAACTAGCTAAATTGATGATTGATACCATCAAGGTATATATAAACTCTGATGGTAACAGAAAGAAGCAGTGCTTCGGTGAAAACACTACTCAGTTACTCCTTGATGCTATTAGAGTGTGTATATATATATACTATGATGTCATCAAGGAGGGACATGCAATGCTTCAATGAAAAAGACTGCTCAATTATTGTTTGATACCATCAGAGTTTTATATATAGTCTGATGGTATCAATGAGGAAGAGACAGAGATTCAGTTGATGTTTGATACCATCAAGGTATATATATTCTTTGATGGTATCAAACAAGAAGAAGCAGTGTTTCAGTGAAAATATATACTACTTAGTTACTCCTTAATGCTATTAGAGTGTATATATATATATATATATATATATATATATACACTCTAATAGCATTAAGGAGGGAGTTTTTGACTTCATTAGTGGTCCTATATGATATTGATAGGGTATCAATATACCGACGGAGTATCAAAGAGGATTAAGCTCAGTCCTATAAGATACATATATGATATCAATATACCGACAAAGTATCACAGAGGATTAATTCATAGTAGTGATGATGATGATGACATCATGCGCAAAATAAAAAAGGAGAAAGTGGGGTAAGTGGGTAAATAGTTTGGATCATGATTTCGTTAAAGGTAAATAGTTTCACAATTTGGTTCATTTTGTGTAGTTTCCCCTTTTAAATTTGAGCACACCTTTAAGATAACTACACATTCCTGGAAAGTAAAAAAGTATCTTTACCAATTTATCCTTAATATAATATAAATAACTTGAAAAAAAAATGTAGTGCTTTATAAATAGTTTCTTATTTAGGTAAAACTCATTTTATTAAATAATGGTAAAATTGAAAGAACGCCATTAATATCTTTTTAATTATGTAAAACACCACTTATTTAAAACAAATTGAAAAGGTATAAATATGGCTTATTTAGAAATAATGGGAATATTATTGTCGTACACCTTCGAGATATACGATAGTTTTTGTATTGTATATCGTTCAATTATACAAAACGTTAATTGTATATTTTGTAGGTATACAAATTATACTTGCTAGATTTTTTCTCTAAATAAATATGGAGTGTAATATTTTTCAAAACAGATATTTGACATTGATAAGATTAGATTAGATTAGTCACTGTTCATTCACAGAGTTAGTTGGTTAGTTAGTTAGGAATCACACGTTTACCATTTCAGCATAGATAGTTAGTTGAGTTTGCTAGAAGTGTGAAGATTCTATCAGTGTGTATATACACATACATTGTATTGATTACAGTTTAGTTTTTCACATTCTCAATAATATCTTTTCTCTCATTCTTCTCTGATTGTTGGTGAAAGCTCAACCTCCATTAATGGAAGAAGTATATTGTTTCACAGCTTATGCTGCTGGTTTTGTCATGGTATCAGAGCAGTGAGATTCCTGCTCCTCTCTCTCGTCGTGAGCACTCTATTCAGTTCGATTTGCCGATATTTTTCTCGTCGTCGTCTTCTCCCTGATTTTCTCTGACCGATCTCACTATCTTTCCTCTGTTTTGATTCGAACTTGCTCATTGTGAGTTCATTCTCCTTCATCTTCTTCTATGGGAGACGCTCCAGGTGACGCGACTGCTACCAACACTTCAACTCGATTGGATTTCAATTCCCCCTTCTATCTGCATCCCTCTGAGAATGCATGTTCTATTTTACTTCCTGCTGTTTTTGATGGAACTAGCTACAGGTCATGAAGACGAGTAGTTCTTAGGGCTTTATCTGTTAAGAGTAGAAATGGATTCATCAATGGAAAAATCGTGAAGCCAAATTCTGCAGATCCAACCTTTATGCAGTGGGAAAGGTGTGATGACATGGAGACCTCTTGAATTTTAAATTCTCTCTCACCAGATCTGCGAGATAGCTTGTAATACGTCAACAATGCCAAGGAGCTTTGGGAGGAGTTGGAGGATAGATATGACCAAACTAATGGTTGCAAACTCTATCAACTACAGAAGGAGATAAATAACCTTGTGCAAGGCAATTTGGATGTCACTAGTTACTATACTAAGATGAAGAAGTTGTGGGAAGAAATGAACACTCTTGATGTCAATTCTCAATGCACTTGTGTGTGCATTTGTGGTGAAAAACCCAAGATGCATAAGGCTGAGCTAGATAGAGGACTTATACATTTTTTGATGGGCCTAAATGAGATGTATACTACTGTACGTGAAAATATCCTCATGATATCTGATCTACCAACTATGGCACAAACATTTGCCATTTGGTCACAAGAGGAAAGGCAGAGGGAAATGAAGTCTCTCAGTCACATGGCCTTGGAATCTACCTCTCTAAATGCCTCTGTGTCACCACAATACAATGCAGGATCCAAAGGTTTTAATACAAACTACAATGCAAACTACAATTCTTATAGAGGAGGTGCAGACAGAGGTGCAAACAGTTCCAATACTAGCAGTTCCAATACTTTTAGAAGGAATTCCAGCTCTGGCAACAGGTCAAACTTGTTATGTGAATACTGCAAACGAACTGGGCATACCTAAGACAGGTGCTACAAGTTGCATGGTTACCCAACCAACACAAGAAACCCAAGAGGAAGAGGCTCAGGATCTGCAACAAATGTGCATACTTCTGAGGATGATAAAAGTCAGTGTGAAGAAACTCCTGAGTAGGGAAAGCAAATGCCATTGAACCTGTCTAAATGCCAGTATGAACAACTACTCAATTTGCTTGGGACTCTGCAGGTTGGAAATGGAACTGATTGCTCAGGACACATGTCAAGTGAAGCTGCAAACCTAGCAGGTATACTTGCTTGCTATTCTTCTATTACTGAGATAGGTGATTTGTTATGTAAATGTGAAAAATTGACTGATGGTTCTTGGATCATAGATTCAGGAGCCTCTCACCACATGACCTACACAAGAGACACTCTCACAAACCTTAGAACACTGCCTTATCCCTTCTTAATCACCTTACCAAATGGATACAAAGTTAAAGTGACTGAAATTGGTGATGTTTGTTTGAATTCAACACTGACTCTGTACAAAGTATTGTTTATACCTAGCTTCAAGTTCAATCTAATATATGTTCATTGCTTGGTTGTTCAACTCAAAGGAATAGTTAGTTTAAACAGTTTTTCTTGCTTACTGCAGGGCCCTTCTTTGAAAAGCCCTCTGGCACTTGGTAAGGTAAGGAATAGTCTGTATTTTTTCTGTCCAAAGTGTTACAACTGTCCACCTGCAAATGGTAATGTTGTTTCTCATGATAGAT